CCGTGATCGCTGGGAGGTTGAGGGAGTGGGAAATAAAGAGGTCATGGATGGTGGTGAGCTTGTTGCACACCGATCGGGCGTTCAGGAGTGCGCATGAAATGGGGGGGGGGGGTGGTTTTAGGAAGCAGGGGGACAGATACTAAGTTGCGATGGTTGCGGCAGGACGTGGAAGTGGGAGGGTGCTGTGTGGGTGAGCGAGGTGGTGGAGGGCCAGAGTTCGGGGAGATGTTCCCGGAGGTTTGGAGGAAGAAGGGTGAGAAAGGTGGCATCGGAGCGGGATGTACAGGAGTGAGCAAATCTGCCAGTGGAGGTGTTCGGGTCTGTGGGAGGGTGGAGTGTTAGGAGGAGGTGGTGGGGTGCCGTAGAGGGGCGAAGGAAGCAGTGAGGACACAATATACAATTGTCTGGGAGGAGCAGAGTGATATAGAGAATAGATTTTGGGAACGGAGGAGAGGAATATGAGAAGGAGTGGAAGAGGCATTTAAGGGTGGCAGATAGGAGTGGTGGGAGGCTTGGCTGTCGATAGTCCAGTGTGCAGTGGCGTATCTTGTTGCTGTGGCTTCTAGTAGCTGGGTAGTAGTAGGGGAGTAAGGAGGGGGAATGGGTGAGGGTGGATGGTTTCCAGGGGCGCTTGATTGTAGACAGTCTGGTGAGCAGTGGGGTCTCTTGTTTGTGGTGTCTTACATCAAGGGTTCGTGTCTTTAGGTCGAGCAGAGATGGGGGTTGGTGTGAGTAGTCCCTGGGTGGACGGATCTGGATCGTTGTGCGGCTGTTACTTGTCCTTTGGGTTGAGCTGGGTTGGGGTCGGTGTGAGTGCTGTCAGGGTGATCAGGTCAGGAGTGATGTGTGGCTGCAACTTGCGTGTGCTCCTGCGGAGACATGCTTGGCAGGGTTCAGGGTCCAGGTGGAAGTCCCAGGGTGGTGGTGCTGGTGTGTGGGTTGACTGTGGTTTCCTTGGAGCCTTGTGTGCTCCTGTGGCCCTCTAGGTTCTAGTGGTATCCCCTGGGTTTGTGGTGGCAGCTTTGTGGGGGTGATGGCAGCTTCCCCCCTCATTGTGGAGAAAAACGGCGGTGTGGCAGCAGCATCCCGGAGGTGATGGCAGTTTTGCCTTCTCTCAATTGTGCTTGTGGGCGCTGTGTGCCAGCGTTAGTGGGTGCCGTAGGGTCCGGCGTCTGTGGGAGCGGCAGGGTCTGGCACCTTAGGTGTTGTAGGGCCCGGCATGTGCTGTAGGCCGCATGGCAGGCTCACATGATGGGCCATGGGGTTGTGCGGTGGTGGGGCACGGGGGCGGCTTTGTAGCACATGGTGGGGAGCAGGGGTGCTGAGTTGGTGGTGGTGGCTTACCCTGTCCATTTTGGTGGTGGTGGATTTCCCTCACAGGGTGGGGGTGGTGGAAGTGTCTTTAACCCCTCTGGCTGGAGAGGAGGCGTCCTGGTTCTCAGTGGCCCGTTTTGGTGGTGGTGGCCGTGCGGGTGGTGGTGCTGCCATGCAGGCTCCCTGTAGGTGTCATGGGGGGTGCGCCTTGGTGGGCCACAGCAGGCCATGCGAGGCTGGGTGCTGGAGTGGCACTAGTCCTGGGCAGTTATATAGGTCCTGGTGGCAGAGGTAGGGCTGGGGGGCACCAATGCTTGCCCCCTGCCTGCTGCTACCCGGCGGTAGCTTATATGCAGGCTGCTTGTGTGCAGCTAATCAGGTTGTGGGTGGTTTGTCTGGAGGGCCGGTGGATTCGGGAGGCCGGGCCAGGGCTGCAGGGACAGGCACCGTGGAGGCTTGGGCGGCGGCTTCACTTCTTAGAGGGCGGTGGCTTCCCCTCTCCTGGTGTGTCTAGGGCCCGAGGAGCTTGGATGTGGCCAGCGGTGACGGCGGCGGCAAAGAACCGGGCCGTGTGGTGATGAGACCAGCATGGCGGCAGCGGCAGAGATTCGGGCCACGTGGTGATGGGACCAGCGTGGCAGAGGTGGCGGATAGGGCACAGTGGTGGATCACGTGGCACCACTCCCTCTCCAGGTACAGGGGGGGTCAAGGAGGGTCGGGGGGGGCGCTGTTAAGTCAGTTTAGCTGGTGGGAGTTAGATGGAGTTTGGGGGCGACCGGAGCTCTGGGTCATGCGGCTGCTCTGACCGCCATATTGGCCTCATCAGATTTAAGGATGGACATTCCAAGGATGAACATAATAAACAATATAAAACTCAGCAAATCAACACAGAGCTGGCAGATAAAACCAGGTCAGAGCCTACCATTCACCTGACACAACATCATTCCATCATGACCCAACACCTCTATGACTACAAACACCTCAACTAACAAGGGGGCAGTCAACTAGCAAGAGAACCCAAAGACATTGTACTGAATGGAACTCACAACCCGGGATCTGGCACAAACCATCTCAGATGGACACAATGGGGCTGATTTACTAAAACTGGAGTGTGCAAAATCTGGGGCAGCTGTGCATGGGAGCCAATCAGGTTCTGACTTCAGCTTGTTCAATGAAGCTTTGACAAAAAACCTGGAAGCTGATTGGTTCCCTATGCAGAGCTGCACCAGACTTTGCACTCTCCAGTGTCTCATTGTCATCACATGCTGTGTCCATAATGACCACCCATCCCCCCTTATCAGCTGGCTTCAATGTTATATCTCTCCCTTGCTGCTAATGATGGCAATGCACCTTTCTCCTCAATGGTCCCATTATTAGGATATGACCCCAGAGTTCCTGATTATAGACTGTCATACTTCACCATCTTTATCATCCAAATGAAGAAACATTTCTGCTGCTGAATATGTAGTGGGTGGTGGAAACTTCCATTTTGTCTGTAAACCTCAGACAGACCTACTCAGTGGTGTGACTACAGATGATCCCTCAATATCGCCTCTCCAAGAATAATGTCCCTTCAATCTAATATTCCTAAAACATCTATACAAGTCCTGTGCCAACAAAAACTTCTTCATGATACCTTTAGGGCTAAAGCCCAAACCTTTCCCCAGAAGGTCCATCTTACCCGATGTCAGTCCAGCTGAGGAGAAGGTGACAATTTTCCGTCTATTTCTGTTGATGATGAATCATCTGTTGGGATGGTTGGATGAGTGGGAGATCCCTTGTTGCAGCGTTGATGTTTCCTACCTCCCCTGTGGCCGGATCTCTGCTGTTTCCTTGATTCTGATGTACAATACGAGGCCGGGTGTTGTCCCTCTATAGATCCTAATAAAGTGCCTCCAGCAGAGGAGGGAAGTGATGGGTCAGAGGCTGTAGAAGAAGCTCTAGTGAGCAGTCTAGATGGACGAGGTGAGTCTTGTGTAGGTGGTGCTCCAAGAGTACGCCTGATTAGTAGACGGTTAGATGTTGGACTCCTTCAGCTGCTCGGCTGACAATGCAGACTGCAGTGTAGACTCCACCTGTGTGATCTGTACAGCCAGAGCAGCTTCTTCCTTCTGGAGAAATGAAACTCAGAGAACAATGGAGCTTTTGTTTAGGACTTGTGTAAACAGACCATTGAACTCCTCCCTGTAGGCAAACAGACCATTGTCCTCCTCCTGTAGGCAAACAAAGTTGGGGTCAGTTTACCTCCTAGCCCCCTTGGAATACGCTGTGCTTTCTAATATTCAGCTAAAGTTATCTTTTTTACATAGACAAGACAGTTTTTTTTTTAGGAACTTCTCAGGAGGACTTTGATCTGGTGTCATTTACCCAAAAAAAACCCTTCCCCTCTTCCACTAAGAACACCCTCTCCCCCCCACAGAGGACACCCTTCCTCCAGTAAAAACACCCTCTCCACTGAGGATACTCCCTTCCTCTCTTTTCCTCCTCTGATGACACCCCTCTCTCTCCTTTTCTGCACTGGGGACACCTTTCCCCCTCCCCTTCTGAGGACACTCTCTCCCTAGTGTTGTCACCCCTCCCCCACTCAAGACACTCTTTCCACTGAGATCATTCCCTCCAGATTAACACGTTGCCGCCCAACCTATAGCCAGATGGTGGCCAGGCGAATAACTCGTCCCTCCGGGTGGACACCATATGGCGTCCTTCCCGGAGAGTGTATTGCGCATGCCCGCAGGGCCACGCTGTGGTGCAGTCTGTCACCAGCCGTGTACCTCGGACACGGCCGATAACAGATATGTGCTCCTTTGCCAGTACCATGTGACCTGCTGTGACCAATCACAGCAGGTCACATGATAGTTGTATGCAATGGATGGCTTCCTTTCACGCCATCCATTGTATACAAGTGTGTCTAGCTGTGAATGGTCACAGTGATCACATGCACAAGCTAGGCCAATCACAGCCCAGCTGTGTCATGTGATTAGCTGTGGCCAAATCACAGCTAAGCACAAAAAAACCCTGAATGAATCGATTTCATTCAGGTAAATGTTTGCTTATAGCAAAGTAATTCTTTGCTATAAGCAAATTGTGTAAAAAAAAAAATATATATAGATCACTTCCCCAAAGTAGTACAATGTTACTATGGTAATATTATACTACTTTGGTCATAGTGAAATATGAAAAAAAAATCTAAAAAAAAGAAAAAAAGTGTAATAAAAAATTAAAACTAATAAAAAAAATAAAAAAAAGTATAATTTTTTTTGTTCATACTGTCACCAGTCAGTGTCCCTGATCACCGCTATGCCAGTTATATGATGACACTGTACTGCACTGGTGACAGTATGTAAAAAAATAAATAGTGCAAATAATTTTTTTTATTTTTTTTCATTTTTTTAAAAAAATATGACAAAAAATTACAACTTCAAAAAACTTGCCACGCCTCTTATGAAATACGTCGGACTGTCTACTTTGCAAAAAGAGGTAATTTGGGGGATATCTGTACTGTCTGTCCTGACATTTGGGGGATATCTGTACTGTCCTGACATTTGGGGGATATATCATTTGTATACTGTTCTGACATTTGGGGGATATCTGTACTGTCCTGACACTGTCCTGACATTTGGGGGATATCTGTACTGTCCTGACATTTGGGGGATATCTGTACTGTCCTGACATTTGGGGGATATCTGTCTGTCCTGACATTTGGGGGATATCTGTACCGTCCTGACATTTGGGGGATATCTGTACCGTCCTGACATTTGGGGGATATCTGTACCGTACTGACATTTGGGGGATATCTGTACCGTCCTGACATTTGGGGGATATCTGTACCGTCCTGACATTTGGGGGATATCTGTACCGTCCTGACATTTGGGGGATATCTGTACCGTCCTGACATTTGGGGGATATCTGTACCGTCCTGACATTTGGGGGATATCTGTACTGTCCTGACATTTGGGGGGATATCTGTACTGTCCTGACATTTGGGGGATATCTGTACTGTCCTGACATTTGGGGGATATCTGTACTGTCCTGACATTTGGGGGATATCTGTATTTGGGGGATATCTGACATTTGGGGGATATCTGTACCTGTCCTGACATTTGGGGGATATCTGTACTGTCCTGACATTTGGGGGATATCTGTACCATCCTGACATTTGGGGGATATCTGTACCGTCCTGACATTTGGGGGATATCTGTACCGTCCTGACATTTGGGGGATATCTGTACCGTCCTGACATTTGGGGGATATCTGTACCTGACATTTGGGGGATATCTGTACCGTTCTGACATTTGGGGGATATCTGTACCGTTCTGACATTTGGGGGATATCTGTACCGTTCTGACATTTGGGGGATATCTGTACCGTTCTGACATTTGGGGGATATCTGTACCGTCCTGACATTTGGGGGATATCTGTACCGTTCTGACATTTGGGGGATATCTGTACCATCTGACATTTGGGGGATATCTGTACCGTCCTGACATTTGGGGGATATCTGTCATGCACCGCCTGGCAGAGTCTCTAGCAACCCACAGCGCGGGGTTCTTCAGGGCGTGGGGTCTAAGTCCCAATCTGCTTAACGTTATGGAGTAGGTCTGGCGCTAGAATTATTGCTGTCACTACAGTGTGCACGGTGAATGTAACGTGTATCACAATCGATGTTCACGTGTAGGCGCCCTGATATGTAGGCACCCACCACCTCCTCCTATTACTCCACTCTCACACTGACACAAACAACTCCACTAGTAGTTTTCTCCTGCACATCCCGCTCCCATGCCACCTTTCTCACCCTTCTCCTCCTCCTAGCCGCGGGGACATCTCCCCGAATCCTGGCCCTCCACCACCTCCCTCACCTGCACAACACCCTCCTGCCTCCACGTCCTACCGCAACCCCCGCAACTTAGTATCTGTCCCCCTGCTCCCTAAAATCTCCCCCCCCCTGTTTTCATGTGCACTCCTGAACGCCCGATCGGTGTGCAACAAGCTTGCCACCATCCACGACCTCTTTGTTTCCCGCTCCCTCAACCTCCTAGCGATCACGAAAACCTGGATCCTGCCCACTGACTCTACCTCCCCTGCTGAACTCTCCTACGGAGTACAACAACGCGCTGTTAACAGCCCTTGACTCACTAGCGCCTTTAACCACACGCAACATCAGACCCCGACCACTCCAGCCCTGGCAGACTGATCACACCAAAACCCTCAAACGACACAGTCGTGCCCTGGAGTGACTATGGCGCAAAACCAAATCCCAACAAGCCTTCACCCGCTATAAATCTGCCTTCCGCACCTACACCTCCTCCCTCCATGCAGCCAAACAAGCCTACTTCCTGACCCTCATCAAGACCCTCTCCTCCAATCCTCGCCGACTCTTCTCCACCTTCAACTCTCTACTCTCTCCCCCACCCAGCACCTCACTCACCGCCCTTGAGATTGCCAATCACTTCAAAAGCAAGATTGACACAATTCGCAAGGACATCGCCGCAACTCACACGCCCCTCTCAACCTGTACCCCCTCATCCCCCCTCCCCCTCGACATAACCCGCAGGGACTTCGTCACTGCTCAAACTCCCTCCAACCCCGTTCCCCCTCCCTCAGCCACCCCCTCATCACCCCTCTCCCACGGCCCCACCACTGCTCTGACCTCCACTTCCACCTCACCCTACATTCCTCATACTGAAGCTCCCCCAACACTCCACACCTTTGACCTTACCACCATCGAGGAAGTCTCCAAGATCCTCTCTGATGCCTGCCTCACCACCTGCCCCCTCGACCCTATCCCCTCACAACTCCTACGACCTCCCTCCCCCTCCATCCTACGCTCCGTCACCCACATCTTCAATCTCTCCCTCTCCTCAGGCACTTTCCCCTCCCCTCTGAAACATGCACACATCAACCCCATACTTAAAAAGCCCTCCCTGGACCCCAATGACCCGAACAACCTCAGACCCATCTCCCTGCTCCCCTTTACATCTAAACTCCTCGAGCGCCTCGTCTACACCCGCCTATGCTCTCACCTCAACCACAACAACCTCCTCGATCCCCTACAGTCTGGCTTCCGTCCCCTACACTCCACCGAAATCGCCTTACTCAAACTCTCCAACGACCTTCTAACCGCCAAAGCTAATGGCCACTATTCAGTGCTCCTACTCCTTGACCTCTCTGCGGCCTTCGACACAGTCGACCACCCCTTCCTCCTCAAAAAACTACACTTCCTTTGGCCCTAGAGATTCTGCTCTCTCCTGGCTCTCATCCTACCTGTCACAACGCTCCTTCAGCATTTCCTATAATGCTACCACCTCCCCTTCACTCCCCCTCTCTGTTGGGGTCCCTCAAGGCTCTGTCCTCGGGCCCCTTCTCTTCTCCATCTACACCTCCTCCCTTGGCCAACTCATACACTCTCATGGCTTCAACTACCACCTCTATGCCACAAATCTATCTCTCAACCCCCCACCTCACCCCCTCGGTCTCCGCCCGAATCACACACCTGCTGAGCGACATATCAGATTGGATGTCGCTCCACTTCCTTAAACTGAACCTCTCCAAAACCGATTTTCTTGTATTCCCCCCAGCCCGGACCCCACCCCCCATTGACTTCTCCATCACATCCAACAACGCCACCATCAAACCCGCCCCGCAGGCCAGAGTACTTGGTGTCATTCTGGACTCCAACCTATCCTTCCAGCCCCAAGTCCAATCTTTAACAAACTCATGCAGACTCCACCTCCGCAACATCGCCAAAATCCGCACGTTCCTAACCCCAGAAACCACTAAACAGCTCATCCACTCCCTCATCATATCACAACTCGACTACTGCAACTCCCTCCTCACTGGCCTGCCTCGCCGCTGGCTATCCCCGCTTCAGTCCATCCTGAATACGGCTGCCAGACTCATTCACCTTTCCAACATCTCCATTTCCGCCACCCCCCTCTGCCAATCCCTCCACTGGCTTCCGATTGGCAACAGATCAAATTCAGAATCCTAACACTGACGTATAAAGCTGTCCACCATACTGCCCCGAACTACATCACTGACCTAATATCCAAGTACCGCCCAGAATGCACACTCCGCTCCTCACAAGACCTCCTTCTCTCTAGTTCCCTGGTCTCCTCCTCCCATGCCCGCCTCCAGGACTTCTCCAGGGTGTCACCCATCCTCTGGAACTCCCTGCCCCAACCCATCAGATTATCACCTACTCTCCTCTCCTTTAGGCGCACCCTGAAAACCCACCTCTTCAGGGAAGCCTACCCTACCCCCTGCTAACTTGACCGACCTCCTCCACTCTTCCTACCACTCCATCCCCCACAGCTATCTCCTCCTGTACCACTATCCCCTCCCTCCTAGATTGTAAGGTCCAAAGAGCAGGGCCCTCGATCCCCTCATGTTTTGCATTGTATTGGTATTGTTCTGTCACATGTTCTGTCCCCCTTTGTAATGTACAGCGCTGAGAGAACTATTGGCGCTTTATAAATACTGTATAATAATAATAATATGTGCGTTTATGTTCGTACATGTGTATATGTGTGGCTCAAAATTGTTTGGTGGGTATGTTGTGTGTTTGGGTGTAACTTTATTTTTTACTTTAAAAAAAAAAAAAAAATAACTTTTTTTTCATTACATAGGGAACTCAAAGTCCCTTAATGTGATGATTTTTAGGTGACAGGTTCTCTTTATTGAGACATGCAGGGTCTAAAATATCCCCAATGTCTCCTCTGGGATCCACTCAATGTATTGTGATGCCATACATTGCTGCTTGGCTATGCTAGAGAAGGTGACCCAAAAGTGACTTCACACACGTCGCCTTCCGGGCATTTCCAGCATTTCGGGGGAGGGGGGTTTGACATAAATCTTTGCATTTTGAGAATAGATATGAGCCCAAACACATTTAGAAAGGTAAATGACTGAGGCTTTCAAATGAACTTTTGAGCAATTTTTCCACCCATCTATGGCCACCTTTTTAGAAGTGATCCGAGCGGCTATACACTTTTGCAGAGCGTGGATGGGGGTCTTCCTCTGGCTGCTCCTTCCACCATTACGGGCTCTCCCGAGCGATCGGGGGGGGGGGGCCAGGGATCATCGCCATTCAGTGTGCTTAGGAGAGACATGTTCATCCATACCTGCCTCCCCTCATATAGGAAACCAGAAATGGTGAGGATTGTGTCACTTCCGGTTTCAGTTTGTGGTTCACAAGCCATTACCGGCTGATATCGCATCCGACAAACCAATCTCCATTTAATCAGATGCTTTGGAGGCCAGCGGAGAGATATGGTGTCTAACAGAGCCTAGAGATCTCCATGAAGAGGACCTGTCATGGCCTATGATATCAAAAAGGGATATTATTCATCTCTTGTGATAGCAATAAAGTTGATCAAAGAAAAAAATTTAAAGAGACAATGTATTTTTAAAAAATAAAATACTTAGTAAAATATTAAATTAATAAATATAAATTCAATTTTAACGAGAGATTTGGGGTCTAATAGAGCCTAGAGCTCTCCATAAAGAGGACCTGGCACGGCCCATGCTACACAAGGGATATTGTTCATCTCTTGTGATAGCAATAAAGTCGATAAAGAAAAAATGTAAAGGGACAATGTATTTAAAAAAAATAAAATACATAATAAAATATTAAATTAATAAATATAAATAAAATTTTAAATAAATTATAAAATAATACAAATTTAGAGCACCCTCCCCATGCTCGCGCACAAATGCGAACGCACATGTAAGTCTCACAAGCATACGGCAGCGGCAATCGCACCACACATGTGAGGTATCGGTGCAAACATCAGATTGAGCGTAATCATTCTAGCACCAGATCTCCTGTGTCACTCCAAGCCGGTAACCTGGAAAGGCTGTTAAAGCGTTGCCTGTGGAGGACTTGTAGATACTGTAGTTTGTCTCCATTCCACGGACATGTGCAATTGTAAAAAGTGACATGTTGGGTATCTATTTACTCAGCATAACATCATCTTTTATAGTTTACCACAAAAATTGGGCATTCTATTATGTCTGTGTGCACTAAAATTCATTAAAGTGTGCTTTTTTCCCAAAAAAACTGTGTTTTAAAAATGTCAGCGCAAATATAGTTCACCTTACAAAAATTGCAACACCCAACATTTTAATCTCCAGCGTCTCCACTTTCAAAAACTGTCTAATATTTAGGGGTTCTGAGTAATGTCCTAGCAAAAAAAAGCTACTTTTTACTGGTATGTGTAAGTGTGAGAATTGGCCTGGGGGGAGGTGATCAAAGAGAACCAATCCTGGCTGAGCTTCCACTGTTTTGTTTATCTTTTTTGGGATCATTGATTTTTTTTCCAGTTGTCTTTCAGCTGTTTTATGAGCTTTGCATTTCCTTTGTGCTCACAAATTCTCAGCCTTGCTCTGTGGAGGAACCTCCCTCACTTGGACCATTGGTTCTGGAGATAAGGAGCTTTGTTGATTTCTCTGTCTTCTATCAGCGATGGCATCCTCCGATGTGAGAGCTCTGCTGGATTGTTCC